ATGATCAACTAGCTCAATTTTTTTCATTAACTCACTGTTCCTCAAGCCTAATGAGGGGGGAACTTACAAGTCCCCCTAAGTCAACCTACTGAGGTTCACTCCTGACTCACCCCATATATCACCCTGTCCTCTTAGCCTCTCTTCTCCTTAGAGAAATCCCCAGGTATCGTTTCTTCACCAAAATCTCCACATCTCCATTCCCATGCTAGATATTCCTTTTTCCACATTTTGTTGGCTACGTGGTTATGTCTCCTAGGGAGCTCCTGACTTCTTTTTTGGAACTCAGTCCTTTCTTCTCGCAAAGACATAGGCCCATTTCAATGCCTCTCCCCCCAACAAGGAACTGGAATCTGCTATTTCCTTCCTCCCCTTTGGCAGATAATTATAGAACTGGAGACCAGCTTTATCACATCATAGATCCTGAATATAGGAATTGGTCCATGAAAAGGCAGGTCTCAGGATTATGTTCTACCTTTCCTTGATTGAAGGAACATGCTCAGGTCTTGTAGACCCTGAACTCCAGCATATGAGTCAGATCTTAATGAGAAGGAGAGCACTGCTGCTAATGAAGCCACAGGGATCATCTGAGTTGGTGGATCATCACAGCCCCTTATACTGGGTAGTGACCAGGGCCATGGCCCCTCCTTGTGCCGCTCGTATGTCTTATCCAAAGCTTATCCCACAGTTATTAACCAAGTCCACACCCCTACCCACGCTTCTGCTTTTAGAAAAAAGAAACAGTTAAAACCCGAAGTAGCAGTAGGTCATGGATTCAGTAACTTCCATAACAGGTATGAAAAGGGAAAGAATGAGACCAAGAGACACATATAGTGAGGACTCCCAGGGTGGGCTATTTTAGGGTAGGAAACCCAGAATGTGGATTTCTGGGTTAGGAGAAGTATCCCCCCTGAAACATTTTCTGTAGGAAAGAGGAAGAGGTGACTTACATCTCTTCTTGAGCTGTACTTGTCCCCAGTCTCAGGCAGAGAACCAGGAGCAGGATGGCAGAGCTGGCCTGGAACAGAAGCTGAAGAGCACGCATGCTGGAAGATCTTGATGTCAGGAGGACTGTGCATCCAGGGCTCAGGATCAGTCTTTATTAGTATAGCAAGACAGGCAGGCCAGTTCATCCAAAATCATCATACTTGGGATTTCCCTCATCACTACCTTGTTTGTTTTTCTGTGAGAAAAGTCAACATTCAGCTGGAATTTAAATTAGCAGTTGAGTGAGGTAGGAAGGTGTTGGGGAAGGTCATGAAGAAGATGTGTCAGTCTGACCCATGAACTGCACCTGGGAAATCTGAGGATTCCCTGTCCCTTCTCCATGCTCAGAATGTTACTCTGTTTGCTTTTCTTGTGTTAGAAGTGGGCCAAGGACACAGCCTTGAGATAGTAATGTGGTAATGAGACCATCTGGATTGGGTATGTGAGTGAACCCAATTATAGTCTCCTGTGTGTGTGACTGACCCCAGTTAAAGCCTGTGTGTGTGTGTGTGTGTGTGTATAATATGTATACTTCTTTTTTCTTTAAATTTTAACAATTGTTTTTATTTACAATTTTTTACCTTTTTTCTATATTGATTTTATTTATTTAATCATCACCTGAGGATATGTTTGTATTAAGGGGGAGATAGAGAGAGAGAGAGAAACATCAACATGAGAGAGAAACATCAATCTGTTGCCTCCCGGAGGTGCTCTGACCAGGGATCAAACCCACAACTTTTTTGGTGGACAGGATGAAGTTCCAACTAACCGAGCAACCCAGTCAGGGCTATATATATATATTTTTAATTATAGTTGACATACAATATTACTTTAGTTCCAGGTGTACAACATAGTGATTCAAAATTTATGTCCTTCATGAAGTGATCTCCCTTATAAGCCTATTAACCATTTGTCATCATACAGAGAAATCTTGTCACTGAGACAACATGGATGGACCAAGAGAGTATTACGCTAAGTGAAATAAGTTGGACATCTTGAAATTACAGTATATTAGGCTAAATAAAATATATTAGCAAATTAATTTCACCTGTTTCTTTTAGCTTTTTAAAATGTGGCTATCAGAAAATTTAAAATTACATATGTAGCTTAAAATATATTTTTCTATTTTTATTGGCCAGTGCTACAAACAATCAAGAATTCTAGCTCCATTGCAGGACAAGCAAACAGTAGGAGGAAACAATGTGCTTGGAATTAGTGCACGAGCTAAAATTGGCAATTTTGAAATGCTTTTTGTTAGAGATTTTGAGGGGCCCACATAGGGTGGGAGGGGAGTGTGTTTTTGCAGTGTGTGTAGTGGAGAGTGTGTATANAGGGGCCCACATAGGGTGGGAGGGGAGTGTGTTTTTGCAGTGTGTGTAGTAGAGAGTGTGTATAGTATAGTGTAGTGTGTAGTGTGTATAGTGTAGTATAGTGTGTAGTGTAGTGTAGTGTAGTGGCGTAGTGTGTATGTAGTGTGTAGTGTAGTTTATAGTGCAGTGTCTGTGTAGTGTAGGGACAGAGGCCCTCCCGCGTNGTAGTGTGTAGTGTGTATAGTGTAGTATAGTGTGTAGTGTAGTGTAGTGTGTATGTAGTGTGTAGTGTAGTTTATAGTGCAGTGTCTGGGTAGTGTAGGGACAAAGGCCCTCCCGCGANAGTGTCTGGGTAGTGTAGGGACAGAGGCCCTCCCGCGTGTCAGGCTGCCTCTGTGTTTCAAACCTGAGCTCTGCCACTCTCTGGCTGTGTGAAAATTACTTCTCTCATCACAGTTTTCTCATAAAATAAAAATAGAATTTAGTTGTTTATTGGCTGGCCCCCATGAAAAATATAAATTTTATAAGAAACTTATATTTCTGATTCCTGTCAGTAAAACCAAGTACCTAAAGCAATTAATGGCCCAGTAGGCATTTGGTAGGATATTTATTGAATGAATCAATACTTAATGCATGTGGTTTTAATAAATAAATAAATAAATAAATAAANTAAATTTTATAAGAAACTTATATTTCTGATTCCTGTCAGTAAAACCAAGTACCTAAAGCAATTAATGGCCCAGTAGGCATTTGGTAGGTTATTTATTGAATGAATCAATACTTAATGCATGTGGTTTTAATAAATATTTATTTATTTATTTATTTATTTATTTATTTATTTATTTATTGTTGACACTCGTACAGATATCCCCCCCATTTCTCCCCCTTTACCTACCTCCAACCAGCCCTTGCCCCCCTCCCTCTGGCCATCACTGCAATGTTGTCTGTGTCCATTGGCTATATATACCTGTTCTTTGGCTAACCTTTCCACCAGCTTTATTGAGATATAATTGACCTAAAACATTTTGTGAGGTTAAGGTGTATGATGTATTGATTTGATTCACTTATATGTTGTAAAAGGCTTATCACCATGGAGTTAGCCAACACCTCCGTCGCTTCACATAATTACCATTTGTTTTTTGTGGTGAGAACCTTTAAGATGTACTCTCTTAGCAACTTTAAAGTATAGAAGACGGTGCTGTTAACTGTAGTCACTGTGATGTACATTAGATCCCTAGAACTTGTTCGTCTCGTAACTGGAAGTTTGTACCCTTTGACCAACATCTCCCCAGTTCCCCTACAACTCAGCCCCAGTAACCACTCTACTCTGTGTATATGAGTTCAGCTTTTGTAGATTTTATCGATAATTGATATCCCACAGTATTTGCCTTTTGCTGTCTGACTTTGTTCACTTAGCACAACACCCTCAAGTTTCATTCGTGTTACAAATGGCAGGACTTCCTTCTTTCTTATGATATTATTCCAAATAATATTCCATTGTGTGTATGTATATGTGTGTGTGTGTGTGTACATATATATGGTTGTTTTTAGTAGGGCATGTGATAGAGCATATAACTAAGAATATTATGTGTATTTTGGCACATGTTAGGCCTACAATCAATGCTGCTATTCTATTTACCATATGAAGGGATCTTCCCCAATGACTGTTTCCCTGCCCTGGATCTGACAGCCATTCAGGATCAGTGGCCTAGAGGATATGGTCTTGCCTTGTTGACTTACAAACTTGTTTTGTTCCTGTCTCTTTGTCAGCCTCCTCTCTAGGTCGCCTGGCTTGCTCTTAATCCTGAACATGCTTTGAGCTCTTGGCGCCTACTGTTCTATCTGCCAGAATGCCCCCTGCCCACTTCATGCCCTTGACTCTGGCTCAGATTTCCTTTCTCTCAGGAAGCCCCCGTGGCCCCCTCTACTCCTCAGCCTCCTGTGCAGCCCCACATCCCTGAGCACCACTTAGTCTGTCACTTTTCACTGGCTGAAGGACCGAAATAGAATTGAGCCCTGCCGGTGTGGCTCAGCGGTTGAGCGCTGACCTGGGACCCAGGAGATTGGGGTTCGATTCCTGGTCAGGGCACATGCCCGGGTTTTGGGCTCGACCCCCAGAAGGAGGCGTGCAGGAGGCAGCCGATCGGTGACTCTCTCATCAACGATGCTCCTATCTCTCTCTCTCTCCCTCTCCCTTCCTCTCTCTGAAATCAATAAAAATATATTTAAAAAAAAAAGAATCGAATACAGACTCTGCCCCTGGCTACTGTACGCAGCTGACTCCCATTTCCTGGGATCTGAAGGGGCCCCTGGAGGGATGGTGGGATGTAGAAGGCCAAGGAGCAGAGAGGTTTGGACACTGGTCCAGTTTCTGCCCCTCGGTTGCTGCGTTTTAGGAGACCACCACTCTCCCTCTGTGAGAATGGCTCAGCTCCTCTCCATTTCTGTCTCCCTTTTCATGGGCAGTGAGAACCCCTAAGCTCTCTTCAGCAAAGCTTCTTTGAAGGAAAGAAGTTCTAGAAATTCTGGGGGCTCCAAGGCTCCTCCAGGAGAGATTTTGGCGGGAAGACACAACAGAACACAGAAGCCTGGGAGAAGTTTATTTGACAGACCACAACGCCCTCTCCCCCCAGCCAAGTTCCCTTAGAGGAAGCCACCTTGGGGTGGGGTGGGGTGGGGGACAGTGAGACAACGGTTCCAGTAGGATCAGATTACAGTTAGGGTCTTCATGATGCTGAAACGGTTTGCTTTGATGGGTACCACTGCCATATCGTTGGGGCAGATATTTAATTCACGGACGATGTCAACCACTGCTGCAATTCTTACAGTATCTGAAAGGCACAAGGACAACGGTCATCTCTTAACACTCTCACCCCCAGGGGCCTAACTTTTCCACCAGTAGCAGGCACCTCCCCGCTGGGACTCAGTTTCCCCAAGTCATTTGCAAGTATATCTCCCTTATTAGCTTTTCTCACACAATCCCTCATCTGTTGAACCTGGGCATGGTCTCCATCTAGTCTGCCCTTTCTCTCCTCTCCCCCTCCATCCTTCTGCCCCAGTTCTCCACCAGATCTGGAGCCACGCTTCTCTATGGTTCCTCCTCCCTGGGGGGTGGTTCTTCTCTTGGGTGACTCCTTTACTTACTGTTGACCGCAAAGTCCCAGAAGAAGGTTCTTGGATAATCGTCACACAGGCAGGCGGTGTATTTATAGTTAAAAGGCCCTTCCATTGGTCTGCTGCTTTTCAAGTAAGTTTTCATCTGGGGCGGAGGAGGTGGAGAAAGGTGACCCAGTGTTGGGGTGGGGAGTAGGACAGGGAGAGGAAGACAAGCGGGGGTTAAGGAAGGGGAGAGGGTGGCTTTAGTGAGCAAAGCTCAGGGATGGAGGTGGGGAGAGGCATGAGATGGGAAGTCCAGTTTTGTAGTATCATTTCAGGAGCTGAAGTCGAGGTCAGAAGGTTTTCTGTCCTCATATCCTCAGGTTCAGGCGTTAGCATGTGTGTGCATGGCTGGGGAGGGCTGAGGTGAGTGAGTCCATAGGGCCAGGGGCACTCAGCGTGCGCAGCACTTGTCTAGGGGGGAAGCTGGCTTTGGTTCGCAGCCAGGGCAACAGGTATTGGCCTGTGACCGCAGCCTGGCTGCTTGGGTGTGGAAGCCGAAGTCAGGCCTTGTTGCTAGAGCTGTGACCAAGTCCCCGCTGTGCTCCTCTCAAACTCTGTGCCTTCAGTAGTGACAGTGATGTCTCTTACCTTTGCTTTCCTCAAGTGTGAGAGAGGACAGCGACCCACCCAACCTGGCTGTCAGGTGAGCCAGTGAAATCTTGAAGGTAAACTTTCTTTTCTCTTTGTTAACTTGAGCGTGCTTAAGATCCCAGAGCACTGCATGTGTGAGTTTCAGCAGTCGGGCTAATGTTCTAGTTCATGTTCAGCACAGGGGGTTAATCCCGGGGCCTATAGACCCAAAGGGTCTGTGAATAGAATTCAATGAGTCTGTGAACTCAAGTACCTTTATCTTCCTAAGCTCACCTTGAAATTGAGCATGCCTTCTGCTCTGAAGGTCATCAGTGTCCCCCAGTGGCATTAGCAGAGAGTGATTTTATCACCAGGAGAAACATAGATTCGTTCGTGCTACATTACAGATTTATATATCTCGAAATAGTGAGTGCCCTCATCGCTACCCTGAACACGGGGGCTGGGGTGGCGTCACTGGGCTGTGTGGTCATGGGGCTGGGGCTGGCTGGCTGATTCCTGAGACCTGCCCCAAATAGGTGTGCACCAAATAGCCTATTAGCCCCAAACAGTGAGTTCAGTTGTTCTCCCTGTTTCCATTTTACTCAAAAATACTTCAGCCTGACCAGCGTGCCTCAGCGGTTGAGGATAAACCTATGAACCAGGAGATCACGGTTCGATTCCCGGCCTGGGCACATGCCCTGGTTCTGGGCTCGATACCTAGTAGGGGGCGTGCAGGAGGCAGCCGATCAATGACTCTCATCATTGATGTTTCTCTCTCTCTCCCTCCCTCTCCCTTCCACTCTCTGAAATCAATAAAAACATATTAAAAAAAAAAATACTTTGGAGATCCTGGCGTTTCTTTAGAGAAGCCCAACCTTGAGCTGTTTGTCTTTTTATTACATTTACAACAATATATCTTCATAATTCAGAATTTTCAACACCTTGTATAATTAAAGCAAAAACTCGGGACCCGTCGGATGTCTAGCACTGTACGTGTGATGTGTTGTCAAGGACCAGTGCAAAGTTGAAGACGCTTAATCAGGCTAAGCAACCACAGCTGTCACATAGGTAATCTTTATAAACTAAAATTTAACTCTTCTGTTGTAAATGCGGCTAATGTCTGGCTAAAGAAACATATGCATTACTGTATCACAAGCTGATTTTTAATAATTTTATCACTGCCCTTTAATCTGGTAGTTTTCCTGTGCCATCCAATGCATTTTACTTAATTAAGGAGTTGGGTTTTTCTTCACTTTACTCCCGCCCGGGGCCGCTACTTACCACCATGCACTCTCTCAATTCTGTTTCAACTCTGAGCTTCACAGTGGTCTCTTCATTTGCCACTGTTTTGGGAGGCATCTGAAAATTCATTTTGACCAACTGTCGCCTGGTTTTGGGAAGACAGAAGCAGGTAGAGAGCAGAGATCAATGCACAAGAGAGAGGGCACAGCGAGCAGGGTGGAGGGGCCAGAATTCCCTGGGAAGTTTTGATTTTTTGGCTAGTTTGGTTATTTTGTACTCATTTGCTTAATAAAGCACCCTGGACACTTTATTTGAAATTGAGTAGCTTCTTTCGTTCCATTGACCAAAAATAAAATAAAATAAAATAATAAAATAAAATAAAATAAATAAAATAAAATATAAAATAAATAAAATAAATAAAATAAAATAAAAAATAATAAAATATAATATAAAATAAAATAATATAATAAAATACAAAAACAATAAAAACAATAAAAGTACAATGTCATGTCATTTCCTAATGAAATTCTATAGGTTCTGCTGATTGTCCACTGACTAGGAGGACCCGTGTCATCCTTAGTATTAAATTTCCTATCAACAGAATCATAAACATTTCAACCTACTGGAGGTGAAACCATTCTTAAAGATCTTCCTCCTCTGCTTCTTGGTGGGGCCTAGGATTTGTATTAGCACTTAGTTCTGTAGGGGATTTGGACCCCTGGCCATATTTGGGACAACAGATTCCACCTTACACTCAGGCCACACACCACAGTCTGATGGGGGAAAGGACACGGAGACAAAGAGAATAGTCAGATGTCCGCTTCAGCCAGTGAGGACTGGGTCCAGGACCAACAGAGGTACTTTCTCTTTCCCAGAAACTCCTGCCAAAACTCCCCAGGGTTGGGTGAGACTGGAGGGAATTCAGTTTCTTGGCCTCCAGGGCTTCCCAGCCCCGTTTTCCTAGGGAAAGCATCAGATTCTGGGGAGATTCCATTTCCTGTGCCAGCTGCTCTAGTGCTCAGTGCACAGGGAAGGGACATGCGGCCCTCAGTTTCTTCAAAATTCCTCCCCTTTGTAAATAAGTTTAAGATTGATAGGAGGACCAGCACAGCTAGGGTGATTAATCACCCCAGTTTTGCCTGACAGTGAGGGGTTTCCTGGGGTAAAGGACTTTCAGTGCTAAAACCAAGAAATTTGTGGGCAAATTGGGATGGCAGGTCACCCTAGTTAGCACAGCTTATCAACAACTAACTGACCCTCGGGGCTAAGTGGAGAGACATCTGTGTCTGAACCTGTCCCCACCCAGGGTTTCCTGGACACCCAACGATGTCCATTATATCAGCTTGTCAAAACCCTGGAAGGCTTCCTCCAAGACTTGGCATCTGGTCATCCCACAGAGGGTACAACCAGGACCACAATCCAGAAACCCTGCATCCCAACCCCTTTTCCTGCTGGGAAAAATCCCTAGATTTGGTGAGTGCCCCTGCTTCTTCCCCCAAATCACCCCATTTCCTGCTTTGTTTTGCATGGCCCGGATTTCCTGCTTCCTTCAAACGTGTGCCCTCAGTGAGTTGGCTTCCAAATGCGTGTTCCCAGGTCCCAGTGTGGGGGGGGGGTGGGCAAGTGGTCCTCACATTCGTCTTCAGGCTTCCGAATAGGAAGAATTCCCAAACCTCTGGGCAAGCTCAAGCTTGGGCGGTGGGGCCAAGGATCAGTGCCCAGGGCCTCTGAACATTCAGTGAGTCTTGCCAAAGGTGCCCAAAGCTATTATTGGAACTCACAGACCTGCTCAACCCTCTCTTCTAGGAGGTGAAGTTAACTGAGCAGAAATCTAACAAAGGTGTAGACTATGGACAGCGTATAGGACAGAGCCTTAGAGAAAGACTGTTAATGACAGCCGGCATGTGCACTGGGAGCCTTATTTCCATGGGCAACTTAGAAGCACCCAGTGGAAATTGCAGAGAATTAATGGGGCTCCTCAGAGGAGAGAGGTGGGAATTGGCATGGGTTCATGAGAGCTCCTGGGATTAGATTTCTGGGAAGTTGAAAAAGTTTTCAGGAAGGGATATGTAGATTCCCAGGATAGGAGACAAACCCTCTCCCCAAAAGACTGATTTCTGTGAGAAGGAGAAAGGCTTGGCTCACGTGTCTTCCTGAGCTTTGTTGGTCCCCAGCTGCAGGCAGAGAACCAGGAGCAGGGCGGCATGGCTGGCCCTGAGTAGGAGCTGGAGAGAGTGCATGTTGGAAGAGACAGAATCTGATGTCCTGGAGAAGTAGGGTTGAGGTGTCCAGCACGCTCTTTTTATATGCAGATCAAAGGAATGGGAGAGCTGCCACGCAGACCCATGTGACCAATCACCCTGTTATGCTTTTCATTCTTGATCTTTCCTTGTTGAGCTAGTGTTTTTTTTCTGTGGAGAAAGTCAACATTCACTACAGTGTTAGAGCCTGGGAGAGAAGGTAGGTGAGCCTGCCTCATTTTCTCAGTACCAGAGTTTCTCAGAATGGCCAGGACCTCAGAAGACACACAGCTCCTCCCTAGCTTTCTTGTCTCTCATCATTACATGCCTGTCTGTCCAGCTGTATGTAGTCTTAGCTTCAGTCCTTCCTCCCCTAGTCTCTGGGGACAAGAGAACCCAGCTATGGTAGCAGATTTCAGATCACAGCTCTAGGACACATTTGCTTGATCCCCTTATACTAAGTTCAAGAGGAGACGTTAACCACATTTGTTAGGGAGCTAGGGTGACCAGGGCTTCCCTAAGGGCCACAACCAACCATGAGGGGGAAAACTGGAGTTGGAGAACCGAGGCCACAGCGCTGGGTGACACGGAGATGTTTGTGATTGTCAAGTCCTTCTTAACTTCAAACGGCAACGTTCTACAGGTGCTCAAGATCCCCAGCTACCCAAAGTCCCCAGCACAGAGCAATATTTTGACTCTAGACTGTACCTGTAAATAGCTGGCATCCCCAAATCAGACTTCCTGACACTAAATATTCTGCTTATTTCACTATTGGCAGGACCACTTTCTTACACTTGTCTCACAGCACAAGGCACATAGCAAGACCCACACTGGGAAGGTTTCCCTCCATTAGAACAGAACCAAACTGTGTCCAGAAGATTGCTCTGACCCTGGGATTCCTCTCCCTGGGGTGGGAAGGAGGCTCATCAGTTTTTCTGACACTGGCATTGTGATATTTCTCTTTCGTCAACTAAATCAATTCCTTAACCTTTGAAATATGACATTGTGGATTTTGTTACTATTCTTTGCACAACAGATGGCAGGCCAGGAAGGTCCTCTCTGGCATGGATGTGAAAAATCAGAGATCTAGGAGTTACATATGCATGTTGCCATTGGCACGATTCAGAGTTAAAGTCCAGGTGTATGCTTCTGGTTTCTGGAAGCATCTTTCTAAATTGCTCTGCCACTTATCCTACTCCCACACTTCCCTTCTCATTCCTTTGAACTTGACACCATTCATGTCATTCCTCACTTAGAAATTCAACTATTATTGCGAGCATTTGTTTTCTTCTTTGTTTCTGTTCCTTGTACACAAGAACAATGCTTTCATTTCACCTCACCCTAGTCACAATGGTCCTCCTCTATAAATAGTCGCCCTCGCTGTAATTTTCTTTACGTCTGCGCTTTTGTTTACTTACTTGAATGATTTCCATCAGAGGGACATGCTAGCTGAGATTAATGACGCAGAGAGGTGAAAGAATCTCGGAAGCCTTGACATGGGAAAATCCAGGAAAGACTCTTTGCTGGGTTGAACTCCCTTTGCAGGTATGTCCCATCCTTGAGTACCTACTCCCAATGAAGCAGTGCTCCCCAAGGGGCAGATGACAGTGGGTTGAGAGGATCTATTGAAGGTAAAGGGGCTCTTTTCCTATCGTCCAGCAGGAACTGCAATATTCAGAACCTTCAATGTATATGACAAATCTTAGTTACTATGCAGGTCATGGCCAGTGTGGTAGTTAATTCTGTGTGTCAACCTTGCTAGACCATAGTACCTAGTTTTTGGTAAAACATCAGTCTAGATGTCACTCTAAAGGTATTTTTAAATCAATAGACATTGAGCAAAGCTGATTACTCTCCATAATGTTGGCAGGCCTCATCCAATCAGTTGGAACCCTTAAGAGAAAAGGCCGAGGGGAAGAGGGAATTCTGCCTCCAGAATGCTTTTAGATTTCAAACTTTCCAGTCTTCACTATTATGTGAGTCAATTCCCATTGGTTCTGTTTCTCTTCTGAGAAACCTAATGCAGCTGGTGTTCGGTAAGGGACAATAAATGTCAAAAAGATTGGAACTCATATTGGTTGAAAGCATATTTGAAACCCTGGAGTGAATTGAGCTTCTAAACCCATGATATGAGAGCCATTTCAGATGGGCAGATGGGAAGGTCAGATGGGGACTGGAGATGAGGTGCCACCTGGGCATGTTGTGCTGAAGTCTCAGAATGTTTCAGTGACACTTCAATAGGTGGTGAAGTCCTGGGATAGAAGACAGGTTATTGTCTATTGAACATAATTTTGAGAGGCACTACATGATGGTATTTACCTCTCTTTTAGTTTAGAAATTATTATTATTTAAGTGATGGTCATATATTGGTCAAGGATGTCATGGAAAATGTCATGGAATAAGGGCTAGTATGAATGATCATAATTTTTGTTTTTCATTCCATCATATGTTTGATTATAGGACTCTTGGATATGTTGGCCTTATTTAAATGTTTGCAGACATTGGTTAAGTAATTCTGATTTAAACAGCAATGGATATTTATTCTAGAAAGTGATGTGGTTTGAAGGCCAATAAGCCAATAAATCAATGCGACATAGTTCCCTCAACTGCTACCCAAACTGCACAGGAGATCTGCCTGGAGATGAACAGTATCAGGTGAACCTTGCAGCTGCATGTTTTCTTATACATTTACACTGGGTTTAGCTTCACACCAGGAACTAGGCAAAACCACCAGGCAAAAATCCATGTGTCCCAACTCTGTTTCACAGTTCACGCAGAGGCGTCGGTATTCATGGGACTAAATATATCTGGAAAGATAAATATTTCAGAGGCAAGATAGGATTGAAGTAGCTACCACAGCCCTGTGGATGGTATGTAGAAATGCTTTCAGAATATTATTTATGACAAAAGTTTGAGGATAATGACATCTTCTTCCTCATGTTATCGTTCAGAAAACCGAACTAGCAGATGGAGCCTAGGAAAAAATATAACCAAAATTGTGATGTCCTTTAAATAATAATTAAGACTACTAGGTTTAAGAAACCAAACAGAGGTTGATAAAAATCAGAGTGTAAATAACCCAGGAGGCTCTTGGAAAAGAATGCACTGGTGCGAAGGGGAAGGGATTTAAGGGAAAGGAGAAACGTGCATAGGCTAAATTCATGAACACAAAGGCGATCCCAGGCCTGACAGGGCTCATGAGAAAGGAAGGTAAGGAATAACCCAAAAAGTGAGTTATACAAGCCAACACACATGGAGCACATATACATGCATGACGCCGTGCTAAAGATCTTACACGGATTAACAGAATCTTCAAAACAGCCCACTGGAAGTAGGTTGCCAGTTTTATCCGATTTTATGAATGGGGAAACAGAGGCACATAGCAGGTAAATATATTGAGCCCAGGTCACATAGCCAGTAATGGGTGGAGCCAACTTCGGATCCAGGTTTTGTGGAATCTGACATTTTTGTTTTACTGGGGACCTCTTTCAGGGATAGAATACAAACTTTCAAATATGAAATATAGATGCAGGACTTTGGAAGAGGCTGTCAGTGAGGAGCCCTGAGGCTCATGCCATTAACTTTACGGCCAATACAGCTTTAGATGGAGCCAGAATTTGGACAGTTTGGCTCTAGAGCCTGAACTTTTAACTATTCCACTGCCTACTGGTGAAGACAAGGCCCAGGAAGGCACCTCCAAACTCTAATGGAGAGGCACAAAATGAGTAAATAAAAGACATACTACAAGCATACTTATTTTTTTGTATTTTTAAAAAAATTTTCTTTAATATTGAAAGTATTACAGATGTCCCCTTTCTTCCCCTCATCAATCCCCTCCACCAGTGATATTTTTCTTTAAACAATTAAATCGATTCCTTAAACTTTGATGTATGACATTATGTGGAACTTGTTCCTGTTCTTTGCATGACAGATGGCAGACCAGGAAGATCTCTGGTGTGAATGTGAAAAATCAGAGTTCTGGGAGTTCCATATGAGTGTTGCCATAGGCACGACTGAGAATTAAAGTCCAGGTGTATGCTTCTGGTTCTGAAAGTATCTTTCTAAATTGCTCTGCCACTTACACTACTTGATATTTTATGACAATGTTTATGGTATGGCTTAAAAAGTCATAACTAATAGTTTGTTAGTGGTATATAGAAATATAATTGGTTTTGTAAACAGACCAGGTGTCCAGAAATCTTGCAAACACTTAGTAATTTTATTCTCACCTGAGGATATTTTTTCCCATTGCTTTCCAGAGAGAGTGTGGAAGGCAGAGAGAGGGAGAGAGAGAAACATTGATGTGAAAGAGACACATTGATTGGTTGCTTCCCCCCTGTGCCCCTGACTGGGGCCGGGGTTTGAGCCTGCAACCGAGGTATGTGCCCTTGACCAGAATCAAACCCAAGACCCTTCAGTCCACAGGCCAGTGCTCTAACCACTGAGCCAAACCGGCTAGGGCTTTACTTTTATACATTTTCTTGACTTACTAAATCACTTAGAACCTCCAGTACAATGTTCAACACAAGTAACTATAGAGGACTTCCTGTGGTATTCCTGGTTGCAAAGTAAAAGCTGTTAATAGATTAATACTAAATTTAATACTTGGTGTGAATATAAGATTAAAGAGTTTCCTTTCACTATTAGTTGTGATAGGCAGAATAATGTCCTCTCCACCCCCCCCCCC